TTTCCCAGAACTTACTCATATCCCTGCAAGTTCGGACTTTTTGACCAACATGTCCCCATCTCCCCCATTCCTCAGCCCTGGCAATGACCATTCTACTCTATTTCTACAAGTTCAGGTTTTTTGGATCCTGCATGTAAATGAGGGCATAGAGTATTCGCCTTCCTCTGACTTATTTCACCCAACATATGATGCTCAAGGTCCATTCCTGTTGTCACAAAAGGCAAAACTTCCTTCTTTTTATGGCAGAATTGCATATGTATCTCTCACATTTTCTTTATCCGTTCATCATCAATAGACACTCAGGAGTTTCCATGTTTTGACTGAAATGAACATGGAATGGGGAGACAAATATGTCTTTGAGATCCTGATTTCATTTCCTTCAGATATATACCCAGAAGTGGAATTGCTGGATCGTATGGTAGTTTTATTTTAAAATTTTTGAGGAAACTCTTTACTGCTTTCCGTAGTGGTTGCACCAGTCTGCATCCTCACTAATGGGTTCCCTTTTCTCCACAGCTTCACTAATACTTAGTGTATCCTGTCCTTTGGACAACAGCCTTTCTAACAAGTATGAGATGACATCTCATTGTGATTTTGATTGCATTACCCTGATGATCAGAGATGATGAGCAACTTTCATGTACCCATTGGCCACTTGTATGTCTTCTTTAGAAAAATGTCTATTCAGTTCTTCTGCCAATTTTCTAATTGATCATAAGCATTCTTGCATAGTTCTTTTGGGTATGTTTTTCTGTGCCTTTTAAAATAAAATGAAAAAAATAGCTATCTTTTTAGATAAAGTGTGTTATGTGAGATGATCCATTGTAGTGTAAGAAAATAGAAAAATGTCTATTTATTTTTTATTTACAATAAGAAAGAAAAACCCACATGTAACGTGTAATAGAATTTCCCGGGCACTCTGGCTCGGTCTGTTTGTCAGTCACTTGTGAGTAAATTACCCCAGGAGGAAGTATGAGATTCCAAGACCAAGGTCAAGAACAGCCCTCTCATTCATCGGGTCAGTTTCAGATGATTGCTCTCTAGGTAGCATGGATATCACTGAATTAACCAGCACAGGGTGGTCGAGTTGTTTAAAAAGCTCTCCTGACACCTATGGACTAGAGATAACATAGGTAAGGCAAAGAACAAGAAAAAGGCACAGCTGACCCTCCTCCTACACCTGGTGAAGTGCTTTGTCAGCACATTATGGGGCAAAACAGATGGCCCAACGAAACTGGGCAAGAAACTCACCAAAAATTCAAAGTTATTTATGTCACTATGATGAGGCATCTCTCACTAGCTGCCAAGTGTATTTCTAACAGATGCAGATGCTTTAAACATTGCTTTAAAATAGAAGAGTAATATATAACAGTCTAAATGCCCCTAGCCTTAATTTTTGCTTTAAAAAAATGAAACTCTCAAAAAATTCAAGAATGCCATATAAAATATGGATTTGCCTCCACTTCTGTTAATAATAACTCTTACTTGGGGAGGAAGGGATAGCTCAAGTGGTAGAGTGCATGCTTAGTATATATGAGGCTCTGGGTTCAAACCCCAGTAACTCCTCTAAAAATAGATAAATAAACCTAATTACCTTCTCCCACCAAAAAATAATAATCAAATTTTAAAAAGAAGAAGAAGAAGAACTCTTATTCTAAGTGCAAATTGGGCCTTGAGGTATTAGCTAATGTTGTATGAACCATCATGAACTGTGAGATATTAAAATACTATTTAGGGGGAGGGTGTAGCTCAGTGGTAGACTGCATGCTTATGCAAGGTCCTAGGTTCAATCCCCCATCCCTCCATTGAAAATAAATAAGTAAATAAACCTAATTGCTTCCCCTCTGAAAAGAAAAAAATACAATACTGTTTATTTCATGAGTGTGGATATCTCATAGTTTTATAGATTTAAACTTTTGGTGTATGGTTTAGAATATGCAACTGTGAAAATTAATTTTCCCATTTAATTAATTTTCACAAATTAATAAATATACACATGTTGGGATTGCCTGCTTAAAATCTTTTAACTTATTTCTTGCAACCCTGCTAAAAGTGTTTGCAGACAACTGATATAGATTCTATTTCTTTGCTTTCTCTACTTTCTAATGATTATCATGATCAATATCCTATTTTCAATTTGACTAGTGGTTTCTTATAAATGAATAAAAATGAGTTTGAACCTGTTACTTAGTGCTATTTCCTTTCCCATGTTCAATTAGAATTGAGTATGTTTCTTCTCTCTTGCTCCCAATTCTTAGTTCTTGTTGATATTATTTGGGGATTTATATACAGTTTATAATTATTGAATCTTATTTACTTTATGTCTTCTTTTTCATAAATTTAAAAATATTTGCATTACAAGTGTGGTTCTTTAGCAGCGTGGGAGGAATGAGCTGAAGTGGAGCCAAGCTGAAGTTGCTTTAAGAAAAAAAGAGGTTCAGTGTCAGGATTCTCATGTACTGAGACAAGAATTAGATCTGGAAAACCTCAGGGAAGTGGAAGCTAGGGACATTTTAACTGTTTCCATTTTTCCTTCATTTTAAAGCAACGTTGCAACAAACTCCCACATCTTTTAGAAATAGATTTGGCTGCTAGTGAGAGAGATCTAATCATGGTGACCTAAAAAATAATGGGCTTGTTTTTCTCTTGTGTTCAGAAAAAATCTGTAGGAAGCAGGGCAGAGAGGGAATGGTAATTCTATGAAGCATCAATGTCCCAGGCTCCTTGTGTTTTTCTCTTCTGTGTGTGGCTTCCATCCTTAATGTCACAAAATGGCTGCTGGAACTTTAACCATCATGTACAAGTTCCAAACACTGGAAAGAAGGAAAGAGGGAAAGTGTGAGAGGGCTTTTCCTTTAATCCTTCCCAGTAACTTCTATTTACATTTCACTGGCTCTCTGTCTTACAGGGGAATCTGGGAAATGTCAACTTTTAGTTAGACACATCACTACTGCCAGATAGTTAGAAAGGATGGAGACCAGGTAGGCAAAAAGCAATTTTAGCCATAACACCCTTAAACATGGTTTTCTGAGCATTTAGATGGCTATGCTCCTGTTAAGATATTTCCCTAGAAGTAGAATTTCAATGTCAAAATGCATTGTGCATTGACAGCATTGATATGCTGTCAAATTACTTCCCCAAAAGGCTGTGTATATTTTTATTCCTACCAACAGTATATGAGAGTTCCCATTTTCCCACGGTCTTGTCAGTACGGGCTATGATTATCTTGATTGCCAGTTTGATATATGAAAAGTGATATCTTCTTTCACTTCTATTTCCCTAATGACTAGTGAATTTGAGCATCTCTTTCAAGTTAACTTGTTGGCTTTGACAAACAGAGGTTTGTCCAGGGAAAAGACTCTTCCCTTCTCTCCCATCCATGCTGTCCTTCACGCCCTCATCCCAACTACCCCAAACAAGACTAGGCTTATAGGGAGTGATCATACCTAGAGATGTGTAGAAATTTGATTTAGCCAATACAGACAGGCTCTGTGACATAGCATCTGAAGGAGAAATTGAGTTTTCTTATGGATGATGTAAAATTCTAAGAAGAAAAGGCCCAGAGAGATGCTTGCTAATCAGAGTCATGAGGTCTGGGGGAGGAGAGAGACAGAGAAGTTGCTGTTTGGGATGTTCTGGAAAGTTGTTGATTCAATTCCCATACTTGGCTCATAATGAGGGGCTCTGTCCAGAGTTGGTCCAGTGGGGGAAGGAGTAGCAATGTCTGACAAGAGGAAGAACATCAGCTCAGCCCTTGTCAAAGGCTTGGTTGACTCATGGTGTTACAGACTCTTACAGCCTGATATAGAAAACCCCCAAGCACCACTGATTAATGATGCCCTTGTCCTTGAATAATCCAATGATAGAGAGTCATCTGATCCGGCATCTCTTGGAATGAACATGTACATAACTCAGAAGTCAGCTTGATTACACATGGTCTGAAACTCACTTTTGTATCCTAGGATGATCAAAAGCCCCATTCTTGG